CATCGCCTTCAAGACTCCAGGGAATGAAAATCTCAATTGACTAGCAAATTACCTATGAAGTGGAAATTGTGCTAATGCACGCCCGATTCTTGAATACACTTCAAAACAAGCCATTCAAAATTGAAGCTTACCATAATTTCATAGAAATGATCAATAAGCTTGGTTCTCGCTGTTTTTATTGAAGTTAAAAATTTGTTATTTTATTCAGAACTTTGCATAATTACGTCTTCCAGATTCCTTAATTGATGCCGTTGCGAAATACGGTTAAATGCACAATGGGAAAACGAATGATCGTGAACCTCTAGTAAAAAGTAGCGCACAAATGCATCATTTTTCTTCTTTTTTCTTTTTCACTTATTGGTTTGGTATTCAGACTTGATAATTCGGTACCATACTTGTCCAAGAGCATTGACTTTATATACTGATAGACCAAATACAAGTCATTCTGTGGACTAAAACGATTGTATATATATATATATATATATATATATATATATATATATGTATATATATATATACATATGTATACATATATATATGTATATATATAATATGAAAGATATATCAGATATACTAGCCAAGAACAATCGAGTGTACATCAATTTGTGTTTGGTGATAATTTCACTGAACATAGAGTGTAAAACGTTCGTCGTCGCTAACTCTTAGTGTGGAGACTGGAGCACTCACACAAGATTGGCAAAAAAACGATTACTTTGTTTTACCTGTTCTATGGCGGTTTTATGATGTTACAATTATATATTCAAGAATTCAAAAAACCGACTTTCTATAATTCCTGGCATTAACAATTGGTATAAGCGAATTTCAAGACCTTATATTGCTTGCCAATGTGAGATTGGCGATTGTAATAGTAGTTGTAGCAGTGGTAGCAGTTTAGTGCATGAAATCTCGGCAACTTCGCCTTCTTCAGAGCCTGGACGTGATTCGATGGATTATCGTTGCCTTTCGTAGCGAACCTAGGTCAAGTCAGAGGATCAAACTAAGAAAAAGTGCCATGTCTCGCGTGATAGTGACACATTGGCCCTTCCGGTTCATTCTGGGATTTTTTGTGTCATCACAACGGTAAGGATTTGCAGTAACTGCCACGATCTTGGCGCAGGAGTCAAAAATAACAAAGTGAAAAACTCTCACAAAAATCCAAGAATGAACCGAAAGGGCCAATGCGTCACTGTCACGCGAGTCATGACGCCTTTCCTCTGTTTCATCTTTTCATCTGACATGCTGTGCAGTATAAAAGGATTTCGATTATCCACCGAGTCATTCGTGTAGTCTCGTACGACATACGTCCAGGCTCTGAGATGAACGAAGTTGTTGTAATACTAGAAATCGGACTATTACTACCACATCTATAGGTCTGTTCATAAAATTTGGCGTTAAATAATAGTTGCAAATAACTTTGTAGATAGATCCTTTCATTATTATTTGAGCCAACATGTCATGTGGTCTGGTAAAGGCTCTTGTACAGCCCGAGACACGTGTTTCGTCCTTACAGACTCATCAGCCGGGCAGAACCCGTCGTCTGTCGATCTTTCATAGTCAGTTCTCTTGGGAGCGTCACACTCCTCATATATAGTTATCGACGACCTGCCCAGTGGGTCCTCCTTGTTCTAGGAATTCGCTGAGCATCATATCTTTCTTCCATCGCTTTCGTGAAGAAATCGGACCAACGGGTCAGTGGTCTTCCTTTAGAGCGCTTGACGTCCCGAGGAATCCAGTCGGTAACGGCTCTCGTCCATCGGTTGTCGTTGAAGCGCATCACGTGTCCGGCCCACCTTATTTTCGATATCCTGGCGTGTAGAACGGCGTCTCTGATTTTCGATCGTTGACGTAGGTCGGAACTTCGGATCCTTTGTCTCATTTGCGAAATACGAGATACTCCTAGCATCGACCTTTCGACTGCGCGTTCGATAACGGCAAGTGATCTTTCATCCTGCTTACGTAGCGACCAGGTTTCTGCTGCATACGTTAGGGCAGGGATAATTGTCGAGTCGAAAAGGTGGGCACGGAGTCGGATGTTCTTTGTCCTCTCCACTACATCTTTGATGCTCTTAAACGTTCCCCAAGCCGCTCGTTTCCTCCTGCTCAACTCTGGGGCTAGGTCGTTCATCATGTTGATTTCACGACCTAGATAGATGTAACTGGAGCATTCGGAAATTGTCGTTCCGTTGAGCGTGAATGGGGCATTAGAAACCCATCCGTTCCTCATGAACATTGTTTTCGTTAGATTCAGTTGAAGACCGATCTTTCCACAGGCGTTATCGAAATCAGTCAACATTCGTTCCGCTTGGCTGATGTTTGGTGTTATGAGAACGATATCGTCAGCAAAGCGAAGATGGTTTAATTGTCGACCGTCAATTTTCACTCCCATTTTGTCCCATTCTAATGTTCGCATGACGTTTTGTAGGGTGGCAGTGAATAGTTTTGGCGATATTGTATCGCCTTGTCGAACCCCTCTTCTTACGTCAATGGTGATATTGTTGTAAAATGGAGATATTCTGGTCGTGAAATCTTTATAAAGCTCACGAAGGATCATTATGTACCGAGTAGGGACGCCCTGGTTATCCAGAGCCTCTATAACCGCTTCTGCTTCCACTGAATCAAAGGCTTTTTTCAGATCGATAAAAGTGAGACAGAGTGGTTGTTTGTACTCTCGCGAAACTTCAATGAGTCTTGTGATCGTGTGGATGTGGTCCATGGTACTAAATCCTTTTCTGAACCCTGCTTGTTCGCATGGCTGTCCTTCGTCCAGTGTTCTGTCAATCCTGTTCAGGATGACTCGAGTAAAGAGTTTATAGACAACGGACAGCAAGCAGATTGGGCGATAATTGCCTATGTCGTGAAGGTCTCCCTTTTTGAACAACAATACGGTCTTGCTGGTTTTCCATCTATTGAGATCTATAATATCTAAAAATGTTGAGTGATGTGCAAGACCATGGGGTGATGTGGCAGTTGAACTCGGGTTTTACCATAATCAAGGGCGCGTGCTATCCACTACGCTACTGAGCCCCTTATTCTGCTACTACTCTTTTTGCTGTATAGGGTACCGAACCTGTTAGCAACCAAGAGTCGAACACTTTTACGATGTTATGATGGAATTGAATTCATGACACATCTCTGAGGAATTGATCTTCTCTGGGTAGTTTTTCTTTGGGTGACAGAAAATAAAGAATAAGAAGTTTTTTGTTGAACAAGGACTATTAATGAGAGTACGGGTAATCATTCTAAAGCTCAAATTTTAAAAGAATACTGTAAGGTGCTTGTTTTTTTTAGAGTCCTTCTTACAGCGCTGTAGCATTTTAAATCAAATATGTTCCCCACGCGCCACGCGCTTTCATTATTATCACGCTTACGTTTCGCTCAACAAAACTCCTTCTCTAGGCTGCTAGTATTAGATCGATAGCGTAAACTTTGAAGTCAAAAATGTATTTGCTTCCACGTGTAGCTTTCTTACAACGCTGTAAGAAAAGGAGAAGTTTCGTGTTTCACACGCGCATTTCTCATAGGACAGAGCTCTCCAGTTGAATTGTTAGTAACCATGTGACTAGGCCAGTACCATGCGAGTCTCGACGATCCCAACGCTGTGCTTATTTTCTGAAAAGACCGTCCCCCTACACTGTAGCAGTAACAATAAGATGGAGTTTCACAAGCGCTGTGCATTGCTTGTCGGTAGGGTGTGTAGTCGCTGTGGATCGATAACGCGCGATTCATTCGTGAAGTGCGATTTCTTTTGTCGAATTTAGGGTTTTCTTTCGCTTAGAAAAACTCCAGATGATAACTTATGACTCTGCTTGCTACAAGATTTTCCTCCACATGTTCGTATGTTTTTCCGTGCTTTCGGCGAAGTTTAGGCCCGACAGTTATAAAAGCGCCAGGCGCGTGTGATCCATAATTTGATTCTGAATGCTACAGTGCTATACAAAGGCCTCTTCAAAAAAAACGCACATACAGCAGTCCTTCGAAATCTAAGTTTTCGAATGATGTACTAAAAGTGCAATGGGAAGTCTTTGTCTAGCAAAAACTTCTCATTTCAGTTGCTGCCGGATAACAGAAAAGAACCTTTCTTTGATACAGCTAATGTTCAGATTTCTTTTTTCCGGTCACATAACTGCTATTCATAACTTATTTATTGAGAATACACCAATCGGATCGATGGTCAAGAATCCAACTATGTCGTTACATAAATGATTGGGTAGAAAAATAAATAAAGTGGTTAGTGTTAATGAATCCCTGAGCTGATACGTCACTCGCACGTCTTCATCAAGCATCGTTTGAGGATGACTAAGTGCAAATTTGGCCCCTACAATATCTCGCGTGGCCTGCCGCTGTATCAAGCCAGTCCTGCTTATCCTCCTCAGACATGTCTGGTACCAGTACCGATCCAGAGGAATCGGGAAGGCCAGGTGAACCTTGAGCGCGAGATCGAACCATAGACCACGTGTGCATCGCTGGTCACCTCTAACCACTGCGACACACACACACCACAAGGAGTAGTCTGGAGTACGTAGCTGAATATAAGCGCCCATTACTACTCAGTGGCGGCGTGCTTCACTGATCTTCTTGGAGGACGAACTCCTCTCCGGAACGGAACTTGCCATAGCTACTATGACTGTGTGGTTGTGGCGCTCTAATCGGAAAAGGCGCTAGGATTTCAGTTTACTAAATTTACATACAAATTTAATTTTAATAAAATTTTTCCGCAAAGAGATGGCCGGAATACTACCAAGTACTCCGTGGGTTCGACTACCCCCACCCCCCCTCCGCCCATATTTCAAGAGAGTTTCCTTTCCTTTCATCTTCCTCTCTCCTTCACTCCTTGATGTCATTACTATTCATCTTATCGGAGCCACGTATTCGTTCGTTTTCGACTTGTTTCCGGGTTTTATCGTGTTTTTCTATCAGTCAGAATTTTCATGTTTTTATGGCTTTTTCGCAGCTCCATGATGTTTCGAATTTATCTAAGAGAGTTGAGTGGTGAGCAAAAATGACCTCAGACGGGAGTCGAACCCGTGTTTTCCCGCATGCGGGGGGGGCGCGTGCTACCACTACACCACCGATGCACCGTTTCGCTAGTCACCCATTCCTCAATGTCTCTTTCATAGCTATCAGCCAGCAACCTATGACAGGTTTTGGTCGCGTGAGGAATATTGCTCCATAAACCCAGTCTTGATACCCTCCGGCGTGGGTGAAACGCGCGGTTCAGCTCCCGTCTGAGGTCGACTTTTTTGCTCATTATTCGATTCCCTTAAGTTTTTTTCTTTAGATTTGAATTAAGTAGCATAATGTATAAAGTGTTTCACTATCTATTGTGGGTTTCTTTCCGTTAGAGGACACGAATGAAAGGTTAATCCTTTTGTGAATAAGAATTTTGATAAGAATATTTGTAATCATTCGAAAGCTTGAATCTCTGGCTAACGCAGTGCGTGGCCGCCTTTCCGAAAGACCTTTTCATAACGCCGTAAAATTCAAATGAAATTATGTTTCACACTGGCCGCGCAACCCAGCTGTTACTTCGCTGGAAGCACGAAAAGCACATTAACGTATGCAGAAAATCTTTTAGTATAAGAGAGAAATTTTTGATGGGGAGGTTCTCCTAAAGCGAGAAAAGCAATTCCTAATCAAGTCACAAGAATCACGCTTTACTTAGGCGCCATCGATCGATGATCACGTCAATCCCCCTGCCGCTCCAGCCCTCGCCCGTGAATTGGGCCAAGTACACTTGATCGCTTATGCTTCTTTTCCCTGCTGCACTACAGAGAAACGGTCTGTCCAGAAAACAAGCACAGCGTTGGAATCTCTAAACCTTACGCTATTGAGTGATTGGTAGTAGTCCAAGGAAAGAGCTCTGCTTTGCGAGAAAAATGCGTATGTGAAACACAAATGTTTTTCTTCAGTTGTAGTGATTTAAAGATATTTTTCCAAAAAGTCGCCCACTTACGACGCTAGCCAGAGATTTAAGCTTTTGAATGATTACTAAAACTCTTATGAGAAGTTTCTTATCCAGCGAAAAGGATCGGTTTTTGACACCGTGCTGTCTAACGGCAAAGTACCCTATTCTGTTTTACCGTCTTTATAGATCTTAATCGAACGCGGGTATGCCTGATGAAGACCGATTGGCACCGCCTGG